ACATCTTTATTGATGATCTGGACGAGGGGATCGAGTGCACCCTCAGTCAGTTTGCAGATGACCCCAAGTTGGGTGGGAGTGTTGATCTGCTCGAGGGTAGGGAGGCTCTGCAGAGAGACCTGGACAGGCTGGAGCCATGGGCTGAGGCCAACTGGAGGAGTTTCCATAAGGCCAAATGCCGGGGGCTGCCCTTGGGCCACAACAACCCCCAGCAGCGCTACAGGCTTGGGGAGGAGTGGCTGGAGAGCTGCCAGTCAGAGAGGGACCTGGGGGTGTTGATTGACAGCCGGCTGAACAGGAGCCAGCAGTGTGCCCAGGGGGCCAAGAAGGCCAATGGCATCCTGGCTTGTGTCAGCAATAGCGTGGCCAGCAGGGACAGGGAAGGGATCTGACCCCTGTACTCGGCACTGGGGAGGCCGCCCCTCGATTCCTGTGTTCAGTTTTGGGCCCCTCACTACAAAAAGGACATTGAATGACTCGAGCGTGTCCAGAGAAGGGCAACGGAGCTGGTGCAGGGTCTGGAGCACAGGTCGTACGGGGAGCGGCTGAGGGAACTGGGGGGGTTTAGTCTGGAGAAGAGGAGGCTGAGGGGAGACCTCATCGCCCTCTACAGCTCCCTGAAAGGAGGGTGCAGAGAGCTGGGGATGAGTCTATTTAACCAAGTAAAAAGTGTTAGGACAAGAGGGAATGGCCTGAAGTTGCCCCAGGGAAGGTTCAGACTGGATATTGGGAAGTATTTCTTTCCAGAAGGGGTTGTTAGGCGTTGGAATGGGCTGCCCAGGGAGGTGGTGGAGTCCCCATCCCTGGAGGTGTTTAAGAGTTGGGTTGACATAGCGCTGAGGGATCTGGTGTAGTTGGGAAACTGTCAGTGTTAGGTTAACAGTTGGTCTAGATGATCTTCAAGGTCTTTTTCAACCTTGATTCTGTGATTCTGTAAATATGCACACAGTATTTACCCTGTCAAATCTCTAAGTTTGCCTAATAGTGTTTATGTGATTGCCTTCTATAAGCAAAAATGGATTATAAAAGATAAAGTCTGGCAAATTCCATCTCTAAAAAGGATGAGTGGAGACGCTGTTTCAATAGGATGTCGAATCGAAAACTACATGGAGTCTGCAATAGTTTTACATATTACTGTGGAATACACTGGAAGCAAACCCAAACACGATTTTGATCATACATATGCTTGTCCTTATGGACACAAATATTGGTATACTTTCACCATATTCCACTCAGCACCCATAATATGTTTTTGGACTGACTTCAAATTCCATTCCAGCTTAGCTCTCCAGTTCAAAATTGAAATTCAACAGCTATTTTTACCAACTAGACCTCCTATTGCACTGTCTCCTCAAATTATAACACAGGCCCATACATAAAAATACAGAACAATGGCAAGTTCTCTTGAACCTTGGTTGGTGTCTAAAAAGGATAGAGCTAACACTGCACATTAGTGTGTCAGCAATTAAATCAGACTATTCTGCCTTTTGGGGAGTCACACTGGTTGGTTAGCATGGTTATGATCTTTAAAACAATCCCAATGTAAACAGTGGGACACCACTGGGTTATCTGGAACAAGATGAGGAGTTCTAAATAGCACAGGCACTGAAATCCTAATAAACAAACTAATTGCTACTATTGACAATCTAACCAAATTGGAATGTCCATTAAAATCATCTCTATCAGCCTCAGTAGCAAGTCAATGGGTCCTATCAGACATTTTACCTCACTGGGAACAAACTGAAAAAAGTTATCATCAATTAATTGTAAATGCTCTCAGAAGGACCTGAAGTAACACCTTTATGCCTTGAGTTGTATCCATGCACAATTGTGGACACAGTCTGTAGTAGCATCCATTATTAGAGGACAAGGAGGAACTCTACCCAATGAAATTCTTAAATTAATTTGGGACAATGCCTCAGAATTTGTGTGTTGGGTGATATTGGGGGCAATTAATAAGTTTCACATATCACACAGAAAGCGATAAGATTGTTGCATCTGTCCTCACCATATGCAGTGCTTTCAGTATACAGTATGTATTTAACCATTGCACTAGGACTGAATCACAATGGAATCATACTCTATCCCCTAGAGCATAGAGTGTGGGTCCATCAGAAGGATGGAAAGTAGCAAATAATTGTTGTTTGCACTCAATGCATGCATTTACAACAAGGTTTCATTTGTGAAGGTAATACAGTTGAAGCTCAAGACATCCATTTGTTTGGACACCAAACAGAACATTTGCTACTTTTAAATCCACCAAACAAGGTTCACGAAACTGTCATATATGTTGGAAAAAGATGTTTGCATGTGAACATCATGGACATCTTTAATAGATAATTTTATTTACAACATAACCAATCAATTCAATCTATGGGTATGTAATTTCTCTTTGATTTTTGGTTGTGATTTTAATTTTTCTGTACTAACAACTCACAATGATTTATCTTTTGATTACATGCTATATCATAAGCTACAACCTACACATATTAGAATGAATCTACCTATAATCAAACAACTCCATCACCCTGATTTAATCAACCTCTTACAACAACCATGAGAAACTGGACAGAAGACTGTTATCAGTCCACCATGACATTGTTTTGCCAATTATCAGGCCTAGCATAAAGGACACAGCCAGCATAAAGATGAACCAATAACCAAATCGTATTTGATACAAAAGGGTCAGTACATGGGTGAGCAGTGGAGGTACAAACAAGTCAATCAGATAATACATCATCAACATCAATCCCACTGACCCCAACAACAACACCACACAACCAACAATGGGTGGAATACATGGTGACATGCAGTTTCCCATAGAAGGGACAGGAGACAACTGAGTCAACAAGCCAAACACATAAGACCAAGGAAGCCACATACTGAATCTCCACACAGCCCACATTTACAAAAGCCAGACCTGACTGGAGCCCAGTCCCAGGGAGGCAGGAGGTCCTTCCCCAACAGAAAACTCTGCATAGGGCATCCACCTCACAGACAGACACTGCCCCTGCCTGCAAGTGGTCCCAGCTTTTATCCCCAAGTGGGACACCTGACCCTTGCTTACTTAATGGGGGACACCTGGGGCTCATTTACCCAATGGCTCTCCCTGCAGGGCCGGCCGCACCCTGGAGGGAAGCTTAAAGGTAAACTCACCCCCTGCTTGTGAAGGGCTGTGGGAATCACCCATCTGTCAACCTTAATTTGGGGATTGGGGTTGAAACCCCAGCATTTCACACATCAAAGAAATCAAGTGTTAACAAAGGTCAAAAAGGATGGATAACACCAGTGGTAGGAAGTACTGTTTGGATGGTTTCCTGCAGCAACTGGAACACTGAATCTGATGTTACATCCCATCATTATGCTAGTAACTGCTGTTATACTATATTTGTTGTTAATCATTGCTTTATATATTAGAGCTCGAAGGATGGCTAAACAAGTTACATTAATGCAGAAATTTCCCCACATATATATTCCTTCACATGCATACTGTCACTTCAAAATTATGTTTAATAAAAATTTGATTAATTAAGAAAAGCTAACCAAATGCAAAGTTTCCCTCAAAGTGTAATTGGATCAGACTATTATCTTTTTGTAGGCATAGAGGCAACTACACTGTCACTCCATGGATGATATAAATTGACTTCAGTCACAGGATGGATTGTGGTGGTGCAACCCCCCTGCCTCTCTTGTGCCACTCAGTGCTTAGTGCAGTTTTCCCCACCCAGGCCACATGCCAAACCAAGATGAATAGGGAAAGGTAATGGACCAGGGCATAAAGGCACTCCCTTAACGCTCCCGATTCCTACCTCCCCTATCGCTTGGAAATGGACCACATGTCAAATCAAATGGATTGGGAAAGGCAGTAGACCAGAGCACTGAGACACCCCTTTAGTCCGCTTGGTTTCTGCCCCCTCCCTCCGACTGCTTAAAAGCAGTAGTAACAATCATTGCCTCCTGACAGTCTAGTACATCTGTACTTGGGTTGTGGTCCAAAGGGCATGATACCAGAACTCTGAGATCTAGCAAGTTCAGAGCTTGCACAGCTGATAGGAAGTACCAGAATTTTCCATCATCTGAGTTAGGCTGAAATGGAAAAGTACGTGACGAGAGTCAATTATCTCAGACCCTATAAATAGCGACCCTAAGAGAGACCCTCTGAGCTCTCCTGGATCGCAGCAGGCTGTGTCCAGCATCTTCCCTCAGTTGGGATGCCTCTCAGGCGCAGGCTCCTTGAGGTTTGAAGCTCGCCTGCCCACAAAGCCAACAAAAAGCCGGGTTAAATCAGACCTCTTCTCAAAACTCAATTATCATCTGTTGAGAAGTATCAACGCATTGTGACTATTTGCTCCAAACTTGGGAAGTAGGAAACTTTAACTATAGGCTAGTCTCCTCCATCCACCTCTTTACCTGTCTGTCTGCTTCAATACAAACATTGGCCTTCATGACTGTGTCTATATATTTCCTTGGATTTCCAAATACTTCCGTGCTTCTGTGTATGTTTTGTGGGTTTACTTATATACTTTATTTATTTATTTAGAATACCTTGTAGTAAGTTAGTATGAATCTTGTCATTCTTGAGTCTGTAATTAAGTCACTATTTTAATCATAACATATTCTACTAAATCACCTTGTTAATCTTTAAATCAGTCATTCAGTGCTGCTAAAATTCAACCTTTGATCTACCTCACATCAGTAATAAATTTTAAATTACTATTAAATCATAGCCATGTGAAATACTTTCATCTGCAACAGGCTGGTATTCCATACAACAAACACTTCTCGCCAACATTTTATTTTAAGGACATTAGTGGAGAATTTGTCCAGATTATTGCTGTAACAGGTTTGCTCACTGAGAGGGCCACATCTGTTCCAAATGCCAACCAGTTCCACCATCTTATCAGTGAAAGATGTATTTTCTCCTTTTAGGACATCCAGTGTTGGCAGTATGTGTACAGCACTCTCTTCCTCTGCCTGCTTTCACAACACATGGGTGCACCAGGAGGTCTAATTCCCACTAACAGAACCCTCTGCAGACCCATAGACACCTCAATCCAGACCCAGAGTTCCGTGAACCCTAATAAGTGCCCTGCCTACAAGTGAGTGCAAGTTTCAGTTACCTACTTACATACTGGCAGGTTATTGCAACAATTAGTTTGGGCCAAACCCTGCCAATTTCTTCATATGGATGACTCCAACTCAGCAGATAGTGAATTGCAGTTTTAGGGAAGGACAGAAGAGGAAAACTTGCTGGGTTTTAAATAAAACTTTATGACTATGTGGAGCAACCAGCCATCATCCCTCATTGGGAGACAAGAAGGTGGCAATAAGAGATACAGGAGTCTCATGCAGATCCTACTTGCTTCTCCCACACCACAATACAAATTCCTCATCCACAGAGATCTCTACAGGTTCTTCAATTTGGCCTATAAATAGGACTTCAATGCATATATACAATAAATGTGGACTTCAAAATTGTGTTTCCTTACTTGTTTCGCCTGTGTACTGTAGCACTGGTATTTCAGGATAGGTTTGGGGTTTTTTTACCAAAAATAGGCATCTTTTAATTAAATCCTACAGTAAATAATTATATTTGTACTCCAGAGCCATCAAATATTTCATTAAAAAATCAACATAAGATAAATACTTTTTTTTTTCTTAGCTCCAGTTTGCATCCACAGCCATACTGAAAGACATTACTATTTCTCTCTGACGCATATTTGGCTGAGAGAGTAATAATTTGCCCTAAGTGTTTCCCAATAAACATTGTGACAAAGTTATGTTAATGTTGCATGGCAATTTGATGTTTAAAATGAAACTTAAAACCTGCTTGTACATGCATATGTTTGTGATTCACTAGATCGCGCCATGAAAGCCCTTGTATCTCCGTTAGTATTCTGTTGAATCCGCAGTTACCTTCAATTTGTAGACATTGCTATCCTTGCATGAGAATCACCCATTAAACTGGGATGACTGGAGAACTATTTCTGGGCTTTACAGAGACTACCCAGATTTTACTTCCTACTATTGAAAATGCTGCTGCGACATGCTGTGCACTGGCAACAGAATAACAGATTGACAGGCACAAGACATTGCCATGTCCCCTCAGGTGTTCACTGGATTTTTACATGAGCCCCCAGAAAGTTTCTTGGGTACTGCTGTATTAGAGCAGTTACTGTGAGTACCAGGAAAGAGTGTTAACCAAGCAATCTGTGTATACTCAGCTGTGGGAGCTCCAAGGGAATGGAGCCGCTCCAGCTATCTTAAGGGACAGAGTGCACAGTTCTCATCCTGCAAACCCAGCTGTGCAGGATAGAGGCAGGGAAGAACTGAACCACTGCTTCATTTCCTCTCTGTCTCCCTTACCCGCTTCAAGCTCATGGTGATTTAAGAAATGGGAATGAGTTTTGTAGTCAAAACCTCACCCCTGAAGCTAAACTCATCTTACACAGATACTCTCTATTTAAGAACATAGCCATGCAGTGAGTGGAAGAAATGTTTGCTGTGCTGGATGGGTATGCATGGCGAATTTATCTGTGAAGACAGCCTGCCTCACTGAATCTAGCCTTGTCAGAGGTGCACTGAATGAGTCCCTGTACCTTGCAACAGTGCACATCACTTCTCTTTGCTTGGTACATACTTCATACCTCTCAGTATGGACATTCAGGTGGATGAATACAAGCAAGTATTCTTCCACAATAATACCTTTTAAAACTGTCTTTAAATTATTCTAAAAATACCTGTGCTGAACATGAACAACCTCTGCACATGATGTGTCACGTGGTCAAAATTTTTATTGGTATCTGCTGTGCTGCAGAGAAGTCTTACAGTTAAGGAACTAGCTCAGAATCACAGAATCAACTAGGTTGGAAAGGACCTTGAAGATCATCTAGTCCAACTGTTAACCTAACACTGACATTTCCCAACTACACCAGATCCCTCAGCGCTATGTCAACCCAACTCTTAAACACCTCCAGGGATGGGGACTCCACCACCTCCCTGGGCAGCCTATTCCAACACCTAACAACCCCTTCTGGAAAGAAATACTTCCCAATATCCAGTCTAAACCTTCCCTGGGGCAACTTCAGGCCATTCCCTCTTGTCCTATCACTTACTACTTGGTTAAAGCAGCTCATCGCCAGCTCTCTGCAACCTCCTTTCAGGTAGAGGGCGTGAGGTCTCCCCTCAGACTCCTCTCCTCCAAACTGAACAATGCTCTTCATACAACCTGTGCTCCAGACCCTGCACCAGCTCCGTTGCCCTTCTCTGGACACGCTCGAGTCATTCAATGTCCTTTTTGTAGTGAGGGGCCCAAAACTGAACACAGGAATCGAGGGGCGGCCTCACCAGTGCCGAGTACAGGGGTCAGATCCCTTCCCTGTCCCTGCTGGCCACGCTATTGCTGACACAAGCCAGGATGCCATTGGCCTTCTTGGCCACCTGGGCACACTGCTGGCTCTTGTTCAGCCGGCTGTCAATCAACCCCCCCAGCTCCCTCTCTGACTGGCAGCTCTCCAGCCACTCCTCCCCAAGCCTGTAGCACTGCTGGGGGTTGTTGTGGCCCAAGGGCAGCCCCTGGCATTTGGCCTTATTGAAACTCCCCGAGTTGGCCTCAGCCCATGGCTCCAGCCTGTCCAGGTCTCTCTGCAGAGCCTCCCTACCCTCGAGCAGATCAACACTCCCACCCAACTGGGTGTCATCTGCAAACTGACTGAGGGTGCACTCGATCCCCTCGTCCAGATCATCAATAAAGATGTTAAACAGGAGTGGCCCCAAAACTGAGCCCTGGGGACACCACTCGTGACCGGCCACCAACTGGATTTAACTCCGTTCACCACAACTCTTTGGGCCCGGCCATCCAGACAGTTTTTTACCCAGCAAAGCGTCTGCCCATCCAAGCCTCGAGCAGCCAGTTTTGGCAGGAAAACTGAGCTCTTTTCTCTAAAAGCTTGTGTAACCCTGAAATGAGGCTCTGGTCCAAATCAGGATGACCCTTGCATGTAATCCTCCTTAACTGGTTGCTGCTTATTAAGCCTGGACTTGCAATTTGATTTCTTGCATTCAAAGATAAGGGCCCCAGCACCCTGCTTAGATCACACATGCCTGAGTAGTCCCTCTCTTTCTGGTTATCCCTGACCTCCACCATCAGCACCAATACCTGATTTGAGCACTGAGGAACAGAAGAGGGAAGGAAGAGCAGGGGAGAGTCCTTGTGCTTCCCCTTCTTTTCCTGGACCTGAGCAGGAGTCGGAAGCACATGGCATACAAGGAATGGCTGACAACTAGGTTTATACAATCTTAAGAAGAAACTGGTTAAGAAGAGATGAATCTTCTTGCTGTCTTCAGCTACTTAATATAAGTGTACAGATGTGTTGGGTTTGTGTGTATGTGGTGGGCTTTTGGTGGCAGGGGAGGGCGCTACAGAGGTGACTCCTGTGAGAAGTTTCTCCAAGCTCCCAGGTTCCAAGTCAGACCTGTCTCTGGCCAAGGCTGAGCCAATTAGCAACGGTGGTGTTCGTCTGTGATAACATATTTAAGAAGGGAATCCTGAGAGGAGGAGTGGGAGTTCTGAGGAGTTGCAACAAGGACATCTATGCAAACACTAAAGTCAGTGGAAAAAGGAGGAGGGCGGGAAGTGTACTGGAGCAGAGACTCCCCAGCAGCCTGTGGTGAGAGGGCAGGCTGTCCCCCTGAGCCCCTGGAGGTCACCATTGGAGCAGATGCCCACCTGCAGCCCTTGGAGGACCCCCTGCCATAGCATGTGGCTGCACCCAAAGAAGTCCAGGACTCTGAGGGAAGCCCCTGCTGGAGCAGTTTGTTGTTGGGAGGACTTCAACACAGAGGAGGGACCCACATTGAAGCAGTTCATGAAGAGCTGCATCCCTGTGGGAAGGACTCATGTGGGAGAAGTTCATGGAAGACTGTCTCCTGTGAGAGAGACCCCACACTGGAGTAAGGGAAGAGTGCGAGGAGTGCTTGCCCCTAGGAGAAAGGAACAGCAGATACAACAGGTGATGAACTGACTGCAACCACCATCCCCAGCCCTCCTGTGCTGCTGGGGGGGGGGAGGTAGATAGAGAAATTGGGAGCAAAACTGAGCCCAGAAAGAAGGGGGGTGGGGGTGGGCAGGTGTGCTTTTAAGATATGGTTGTATTTCTCACTCTTCTGCTCTGCTTGATTGGTAAATTAAGTGGTGGTGGTGGTCAAATTAAATTAATGTTCTTTTTTCTTCACAAATTGAGTCTTTCTTTTGCCTGTGACCATAACCGGTGAGTCATCCCTCCCTGTCCTTGTCTTGATCACTGAGTCTTTTGTTAATTTTCTCCTCCCCATACCTGAGGGAGAAGGAGTGAGCTGGCAGCTGCATGGTGCTCAGTTTCCCTCTGGGCTTAAATCACAACAACAGACAAGGCAGAGCCAAACTCTTCTCAAAGACAGGGTGAGAGACAAGGGCATAAATTGCAACACAGAAAATTCCAATTAGAAATTAGGAGAACAAAAAATCACCCTGAGAGCAGTCAAACATTGGACCAGATTAATCAGAGAGGATACAGCATCTTCATCAACAGAGATACTCAGAATTTGACTGGACAAGATACTAAGCAATCTGATGTTAATGGTCCTGCTCCTAGCCAGGTCTTGGGCCAGATGACCTCCAGAAGTCCCTTCATCACTCTGCCATTCTGCAATTCCTGCAGCGACTGCAACACTGCAAGAGCTAGCAGTGATTTAGCTGCAGCGAACTGCAGCTTCTTACTGTCTTCTTTCATTTCAGAAATGAACTTAACTATCCCATTGCACTCTGACCTCCAAGGGCATTGAGGTAAGGATGTCAAATATGTTGGGGAGCTTTAATGATTTATACAAATTTCAAGCATCGGAGCTGAGTCCTCACCTGGGTTTAACGTCTGATGAGGATGCGCATCAGCAAGCACCCCAAGCTCATGTTGATAAAGGTTTGCCTGCATTTATTCTTTAGCTATCTACCTATCAAAAGACAATGTAGCAATTTAATGCTTTATGGCAAGTGGCTAATAGTAAATGAAGCAATCAAATCCTGATGAATATTCTGTGAGGTAGTAACAGGGAAGAGTTAGCAGGGTCTTAGGTGTCATTATCTCCCTCACTGATTCTTTGGTGGTTCTTTCTACCGTTTCTGTCTACATAGCACAAATGTTGTCCTCTTCCTACTATTCACTCCATTAGATACCGCTGCACTGTCACAGCACTTGACTATAATACAGTTAGAAAAACAACCTTCCTGTGAATGTCATGATACTAATACAGCCTCCTTCTGCAAGAAGACTGATCTTACTTCTTATTCTTGTGATCTTAAAGCCAGGAAAGCATGCAGAGACAACTGATTGTTTCCTTTCAGTGATATATCACCGGAACAAAAAAAGACCAAGCATTTGTTTGTCATAGGAAATGCACCTACCCATGATGAAATAAATAGCAATTTACTCAATAAATTACATGGATTAATGGGAAACCTCAAAACAAATGTATGTGGTCTTGGTAGGGAAAAAAAAAAATCTAGAAATCACATTGTCTTTGGCTAATTCAAATCAGTCAGCATTGGTTGAAAAACATATGCAAATATCACTTAAGTAAATTCATCCTTCTCCACTAAAATCTGTCAATCACAAGAACAATGAATATCACTGGACAACTACATTTTGAATGCTGTGTATATTTTGTACTAATTGTAGTATTTTATTATGTCATCAAGTGAAGAAAAACTGTCAGTGTTCTCAATAACCATGTATACAATAAATGCCTGAGAGATTGTTGTCATGAGTATTATCTGCCAAGCAAATATGAGTTCCTCAATTATTGCTTTCTTTCATCAAATCTAGAATCAACCCACAAAGAGTGAAAGTGGAAGAGCACTGCCACCTTTAAAAATCTGTAACTCTGCCAGGGAATGATTTAGCCCAGATGGTGTGAATCAACACAGCCTCCATTGACTTCTTCAGAATTAACCTTCTTTAGACCATCTGAAGACCTGCCCATGGAAATCACCGGTAGGTCTTCCAGTCACACACCAGTGCAGGGGTGTCTACGGCAGTCTTAGCGTTCCAGCTTCTCTCAAGATTGGCCCAGGTCTCCCTCCATCTGATGCTTGCCAGGCAGTGCCCGTACTGATAGGGAAACTCAGCAATCCATGTGGAAAAGTGATATTTAGTTTCAAGCCTAACTGCTTGAAGAGAAAATCTTGGTATCAGAAATCTAAAAAAAAAACCTCAAAACCCAGAAACCCGAAGGTGAATAAAATGATCCTGCTATCTGTGGTTTTTTAACTAAAAATATTATCTCTTAATTTCTAAACCACCTCTCCTGATATTTTGGACATGACACAGTCCTCAGTCCTGCTACTATGTTTTGATTGGTTAAGATTTAAGGACAAAAAATATAGTGCAGCTTTCCCATTTCCTGTAAGAAGTTAATATACACTTTGAACCACTTAATTCTTCAGGATGTTTTTCCTGACACTCTGTCCCAGTTTTCTTCACAATTTCTCTTGCCTAAGCAGTTGGGAGTGACATTTCAGGTTTCAGGCACTTGATATTACCTATTGTTTGGGATTCTGGTTAAGAAGGTGATTGCTGTCCATTTATTGGAACAAATGGACCAAGAAAGGAACTACATTCAAGAAAAAAACACAGCATCCCAAGTTCTACAGATCTAAAACACGTCATCCATACAGACATATAACTTAATCCTCACTTGTGAGGACTGCATAGCTGGTAGCACTGATGTGGCTTTAAATTGTATCCATTTTCAGAATATTTTTGGCTTTCTTTTATGTGCAATATCTCCTTTCACTAAGTCTTCGATTTTGATCAAATGATTTATGAAAAGAGAGATGACTCTTAAAATCAGGATTCACTTTTTTCAGTAAATTCCTCTGTCTTTTGTGTACATAGACTACAGCAGAATAAGCCAGCCTTATCAGGGTGACGCCTACTGAAATATGTAGGAGTATATGTAAAGCACTGAGACACTTTATGAACCCCTGGTGAATCTGTTGCCCACACATTGGATAAATTTGCAAGATGGCTTTGAAATAGTCTGTCTGAGTAATTATCTGTTTGTTAAAGAACCATTGTTGACTATTTCAGTGGCTTTCTGCCATGTTATAATTAATTTTTTGTGCTAATTAATTTTTTCACTATTCATTAAAATGATACAATTGAGTCATTTGGGCCAAATTCTTAATAAAGGTTTTCGATAGGGAGTATAATCTTTAATTTTCTTGCTACTAAATAATTACAGAGAAAAATCAAATAAGAGCTTGCTCACATGAAAAACTGGAATAGCTATTTCACTTTAAATTGATGTCCTCCCTTAATCCTAAATAACTCTCATAAAAGCCTAATTTAGGTAGTGGGTAGAGCAATGATATTATACCATGTAACTTTGTTTATACTCAGGACCTAAAGCAAGTGCCTCCATTGGTTTTGCTTGATTTTAATAATTGCTAGGTGTATGATCTCACCTGTGGGCAAGGCCTGTCCCATCAACATTTTGTCAGTCCTTATTCTATAATAACATGCTGTGTATGTGCGTGAGGGCATACACAGGACCTCCTGTCACCTCAGATGCCTAATGTTTACTTAATGTAGCTGACTGCTGCTAGATACGGGGCTCCACGCTATCACAACTAACAAATTCTTTCCTGGTCAGGTGATTGTGGGCGCTGCTTCTACAGCAGCAGTTTTACACTACACTTAACACCATTACAGTTTGATGAAAGATTCTGTCTCGGTATTTCAAGGATTCATTGGGATACTTTGCACATTCGTCCCCCCTTTAATGTATTTAAACTTCTGTCCTGAATGATTCAAGAGCAACCTCTCAATTCAATTGTATCCTTTCAATTGTTTCCCACTATATTTCCAGACCTGCCTGAGGTCAAGTTCCAATAATCGGCCAACGGGAGTCTTATGAAATTCAACAAGGACAAATGCCTGGGCTGTGTCATCAGAAGCACAGCCAGAAGATCTGGGAAAGTGATTATTCCCTGAACTCAGCAGCTGTTAGACCACACGCAGAGCACTGCATCCAGTCTGCGCCTCCCTGTTAAGGGAAAGGCTCTGATAAACCAGCGCAAGTCCAGGGGAGGGCCACCACGATGGTTGGGGATGGAGCATGTGACCTGTGAGAACAGGCAAAGAGACTGGGGCTTCTTCACCTGGAGAGGGGGTGTCTTTGGGGGAATCACACAGAAACCCCCAGCCCAGAGAGGCTGTGCAGTCTGTGTCCCTGGAGGTTTAGAAGCCCACACTCTGGGTACAGCCCAGAGCAACCTGGTCTGGCCTTGCAGCGACCCTGCTGTGAGCACGGGGTTGGGCTAGAGGCCTCCTGAGGCCCCTTCCAGCCCGAATTACCCCGTAATCCTGTATGTGTCAGAGAGGAACTAAGATATGCAATATATTCCCTTTGTGATCGGGGCAATATGAAATGTCACTGATGTCCTTCTACCCCTCAGGACATGTATTGTTGTTTCAAAGCTTGCAGGCTTATCATAAAACTTACCTAAGCAAATCTTGGAAATAAGATGAAAAAATTCTTCTTTTTTGATTCTGAAGGTTATGAAACATGAGCCAAATATGAAATAATGCTCAGCTAAAAGCAGAATAATTTACAGCAGCATTCAATCAAATAGTTTAGGAGGAAATAAAGCCCTAGTATTAGGTTATGTTAAATGTAAAGAGCCAAACCAAGCCTGGGTGTAAATCTTTAGGGTTTTGATTAAATTACTTGAGATCTGAATGGAATACAAAAATACTTTTGAGTTTTCCTACCACATACCTAATGCACTGCTGGCCTGAAAAAGGGATTAGAAATTGAAGGACATATGGAGAATTGTGCCAGAGCAAGAGTTTGGCTGTGAAGGAGCATCAGAGCATTTAATAGATGTTTTTACTTAGTGATCTATCTATGACTAAATGTCTCCTCCAAACATACAGAATACAGAGGACATTGAATTAATTATAAATGTCTTACCTGGCTGCCTTGGACATTTAGGCCACAAATTTCAGGTACAGAACTTAGCACAATGGAGTCAGTGCTTGTTGATTACATTTCTGAAGAATTACCACCAGACAAAAATTATTGTTATTAGTATCCTACAATACTACTACTAATTCGTATCAGCTGATCTTTAGCTGTGTCTTACCAGAATTTAGCAAGAACTCTGAATCTCAACACCACCAGCTACTGAGAAGATACAGAATCAGAGCTATGTAACTGTAGTAGAAAACCATCTTGTTACTCTCCCAGCAAAATATTCATTCCGTATAAGCTATTGGAAGCAGACATCCTTTCCTGTTAACTGCTACTGTCATTCTCACTATTTAGCCAAAATATTAAAACAAATATAAAGGTACCCTAGCCTTAAGTGAGAAAAAACAGTATGTAACAAAAATCAGTCTTCTCAGGTCTGGACATGTCAAAAATAGTTAACAGCTCAGCAGTCCCAGCCCTAACCACTAATGGGATAATCTAAAACTTCTTTGTCCGTTAATTAAGTTATCTCTGATTCACAAATTAAGAAATCAAATAAAGATAAATACGTCATTTTCTTTCCTTCCATGCTTCAATTCCCAAAAGTGCTGCACATGTTTTCTATGGACAGCCTCAGATGATGCAAATGATGCAAAAGGTACAGTAGATAAATACAGCCAGAAAGAAACCTTTGAAATACTGTTCTCGATTTGTTTAAAAGAAGAAAACAGGAAGTGTTTAAGTGCAGAGGTGTACAAGAGTAGGTGAATAAGACTCTGTCCCTGACAACTGTGACCTCAAAATTTCCACTGAAAGTTGTTTCTTCACAGAGAAGGAGCCAAGTGCAGAGGGCACTCTCCAGCACCCACTTCATGAAATGTCAAACAGTGCTTCTACCATTCATTTCTAACATAAAGATATAAGGCCACTTCTTAACCTCCTCCTTCAAATCCTTAAGACCTCCTCACCCAGAAGGGCCTTGAGTCCACATCTGCTGCAAGAGCCCAAACCAACAGTTTTGCAGGAAGGTTGACAAAGAAACAGTAAAGCTGGGCCGCTTTTATTCAAAAAGGAGGAGAATAACTGTTGCTATCAGTGGATGTTCTGTTGCTCTTCCTACACAGCTGTGTTTTGGAGCCTCTGGGAAGAACAGCAGGACATGGCAGTCACGTGGGTCTTCATGATGGTGCAGCCCCACCGGGGCTGTATCCTGTGCTTGAGACCTTCAACACAGAGACAAAACCATAAGTTTGACTTCTGCTCCTGGGACTGTTTATATTTTACATAAATCTCTCTCATTAACTCCAAATTTTAATGAAAAAGGAAGCTGTCAGACCCATTCATTGATCAAAAGGGGTCAGGGACTGTCCAAGAGATACAGATTTAGCCTGAGAATGGTGGTGCCTTTCTACTACCTTGAGTTCAGCATCGGATCTCCAGGCTGGTGTTGAAAAAGCAGCTTTGAATGGGTTCTTCTTGAGTAACTCTGAACTGGTTCCTGTGAATAACTCTGCTTGATTTTCCACTTCACAGAGTGGGACTCTTCAGTTACCATTCTGGGGCATAGTGCATGGGAGAGTTAAACGTTTCGCTTCAGGAGCTGGGAACCAGATACTCAAAAAGCTGCAGTGCGGCACCTGACTCTACCAGTCTTGTCCACTACTGGCAAGTAATGTATATCCTCCCAGTTAATTCTGTACCTAAAACACAAGGATCCTAATATGCCACAGGGGAGTTCAAATACTGTGATTTATTTTTTTTTTTTTCTGAAAAGCCAGAAAGGAAGATTATGGAAAGGAAAAGGACTTATGAGGAAAAAAGTATTTGTTTATGAATTACTAGGTAATCAAACAGAATGGGTTGAAATGTGAAAATCCAAGTGAAGAAAATAAATTCTTAATCTAATTTTGACAATATGTTGATAGGTGGTGTAGATTTTTTTCTCTTCAGGGAGCCCATTTGACATTTCTTCTGCACACCAGAAGCTTCCATCACCCAGTGGCTGTTCTTGAGATATTGCCCTCTCTTAGGGAGATCCTCTGTTGCCATTTAAGCCATCTTTTTGTCTAACATGCAGAGGACAAATCTGAAGCTGAAACTCCTCTATTTTTCATTGTAAGATAAAGATATAATTAATTCACATCAGCAGTCACTATATGGAACAGAAATTATTTCAGATTCCTTTCGGAATTCTCTAAGCCTAAGCTTATCAGCCCAGCAAGGTAGCCCTAGGTTTTCATGTGATTTAGGTAATTTGAGTTCACTTACTGAATTAGGTTGGCATAAAACACTAATCTTTCTCTTGCCTCCCTTCAACATGTATTACTGTGGATGGTAAGTATTCTGTTTCATAACTGGGCACAGAATTGCAACAGTAGTTGTGGTTTTCAAAGAAATAGCATTAAAAATTATGTACAGGAACAGTTTTACCTGTTGCTACATTTAAAAAGGTGACATACAATTATATGATTAATACCTAGTGTAAAATTGTACATGTATTACATGTTTGTAGAAGAGATCGTATCCTCTAGGTATTCAACTATGAGTCACATTAAAAAACCTGCTACCCAGTGTGAACTGAATCCCTCAAGTTACCCATGGAGATAGCTTCAATTTATGGCTGAAGCAACTCCTAAGGCCCCACTGTTTTGACAAAGCCCTTAGACTACAGCCTTGCTACCATTTTTCTTTGCCTTGTTTTTGGTAGCAATTATGCACCAAGGCTTCACTGTACTGATACCCACAGAAACAAGCTGATGATGGGCACAGGCCGGTGTGCCATGGTTTCTGCAGGCATAGCATGCCTGGGGAACTAGGCTGATATCTAAAAGGTGAATGATGCTGCCACCTGGGAGACTGCTGCCTCACCACCTGGCCTGGGTGTCAGACAGGCTCTTCTGGATGCTCAGGCTGGGACTGGTCAGCTACACAAAGGAACCATATTTAGACACCTGTTTCTAGAAAAATCATTTTTTGGCTGTAACCTGTGCCGGACTAAAGGTGTGATTCTTGATGTCATTAACAATTAGATTTGCTTGTGCCCACTTATACCCACTTACCAGCCCCTGGGTACTGCCATGTTATTAGAAATCTGGAAGACATTCAAACTAACATTTTCCATGTGTGATGTTTTTATACCATGTTTATTGCAATATCAGCATAATAGTTGAAATAATACTGATAAAAATGAGGAAGAATCATAGTACACTTGCTCAATCTCTGTTTTTGCATTAGAGTGTTAGAACAATATCCCTGAAAATGCCAATTACCACTGACAGGTACCTCACTGTGCATTGGAAGTAGCAACCTCCAGTCCCTAAGAATGGTCTGTTCTAACAGAAGAATTGAATCTGGCCCAAGACCTGATCCTGTCCCCTCTCTTGGGATATTGCATTGTTTTGCCAGCCCTGCTGCCCTCTTTCCCCATAGCCCCACACCATATCTTCACATGACTAGAAGGAAGAACCTTCACTGCATAACTAAAACACTGAGGCTGCCTGGCAGGTGCCAGCTGCATGCTGCACTCTACAACCAGGACTGCTTGGTGTCCTCTCATCTGGCTGGAAACACAAGATTTATGTAAGGATAGTACATGAGTAAGGTTTGGGGACCTTCCTGTCACATGGGGAGCTCACCACCAATCTGCCCACATGATGGAAACACATCCTGGTCTGTGATGACAAGGGGCTGGAGTATCCCCCCAGAAAACCTTATCTGACCTCCTCCAGTGGAAAGATTCCCGCCAGTGATACATATCCTGATGGGGTTTTTATTTTGTTATCAGCTGCTTCTAAGCCACTGCTTACCACATACTTAGTGTATATTCATTGGCTTGCTCCTGCACTCAGAAGCACATTTCTTACATTAAAATCCTTGTTTATCCATATGGGAATCACTCACACGCTCAGTTCTTTGGGTGAATGAGATCAGTTTATTCATAGAATGGCATTACCAAGCCCTACAGAAATAGATGTCCGAGTGACCCTTTACAGCCTTCCTTCTCCACCCACTTCTCCACAGAGAGGAGGTCACATATTTGCACTGTAAGAGGATTGTCACCTCTTCTCTTTTCACCAACGGATGTAGTACTTAAACAAAATTCAACACTGACCAGATGCTTCCCACCATTCCCTTAACAAATGCAGACCACTTAATGGGAGAGTTTAAAGGATCAACTGAAGTGAATTTATTAAAGCAAAGGCACAGAAATTCCAA